TTGTGATGTGCAGGAGAAGGTGGAGGGGTTACAGGTGGCCCCCGGTGGAACACAAAGATGTTTTGTGATGTCTTTGGGTGAGCAGCAGTACAGCCCACAGAGCGTAACAGGCCTTTAAGGGCAGCTCCTGCATGTCTGTCGGGGATGGTGGGTCATTGTTTCACCCTGAAGGCAAGGGGGTGGGGAAGGGATTTGTTGAAAATAGCAAACAATAAAAGCACTTCAGCTATTTGTTTTGACCTTTCACAGTTACACTCCATCCCCTCACTGGCAAGGCATGTGCAGCAGCTCGGGATGCAGAGCTCGTTGCTCTCCACGTGCCACGTGTGAATTGCACACCTCTCTCACCCCGTGTTTGCACGCCAAACTGTGTGTGCGGCGGCTGGTCTGTGTTAGCCAGTGAGGGCTGACACTGAGGGGGCTGTAAATGGAAATGACCTTTGAGGTAATGCTGGAAACATCTCTACTAGATGAGCAAGGGATGACTGGTCAGTGAGAGGTGTTTCTGCGGAGGGGCACATTAGGATAAACCGGGGTTGTGCCAGCATGGAGGTGCCATGGCTGGCCTAAGAGAGCTGCTGCTGCATTTGGGGCCAGAATATGCAGCTCGCCCTGGATTTCACTGTTGTCAAGGAGCAAGATGTGCCTCTGCTTGGTCTGGGTGTATGACATAGGTGCTGGTCTTAGGGACTGGCAGGGAAAAGTGAGTCCAGCTCCTGAACTGGCTTTCTAACCCTTCCCTTCCACTTCAAATTTACTCCAGACCTCAATGGAGAGGGAAGAGCACCGGTGTCTGTCCTAATGCCTTTCCCACACCGTTTTCTGTGATGCTTCAGCAGGAGGAGAGGCTGCCAGGCTCCAGCTGGGCTGGACGGCTTGTTTTCTTCCACCAGGACAAATCTGGTGGAGATTAGGGAGCATGTTGTGTCGTCAGCCTGGGTCTCTGGCTGTGCAGGCAGTCAGACATATGGCAGAAATTATCAGAGGAAGATGGAGATTACCAGTGGATTAGGGCCGATTCGCAGCCCCAAGCAGAGCCGTTGTGTCCGCGCCGGGCTGGGTTCAGGCGCAGCTGGGCTGGGAGCCACGTGCTCGAGGCCACTTGCCTCACACGGGCAGTGCCAGGAGCTGGCCCGCGTCAGTCCTCTTCCTTTGCCCAGCAACGATGGCTCCCCAGTGGCTGCCTGTCCCCTGATGATGCTTCTGTTCCCACCGCCCCGCAGTGGTGACCTGCAGGTTTCGGGAAGCGCCCACTGTACGTTCAGCACCGCACAGAAAGCAATCGGAAAAGACAACTTCACGGCAATCCCAGAAGGGACCAATGGCATAGAGGAACGGATGTCCATCATCTGGGACAAAGCAGTGGTAAGAGCCAAGCAGGGAGAGGGCAGGGCTGACGGGACACCCCTGTTCTCGCCCCTGCAGAGCTGGGCACCCGGGCTGGCTCCTCGCTGGCTCTGAGAGCCCAACCAAGCCAGAGCGGGAGAGGCAGCAGTCATGGGCTCAGGGTGAACAGCCAGGAGCTCTGACTGTGCCCCCATTTTTCGGTCTGTCTGGGGCCAATAGTGAGACCAGCGGCAGTGGCCTGGGCCCAGCCAGCCCGTGGCTTGTGTGGGAGTGAGTCTGGCTCTTACTCTGCCTTTCCCCAAGAGAGCTCTTAGTTCCTTTTGTGTCTGAGCAGGCCACAGGAAAGATGGATGAAAACCAGTTTGTGGCTGTGACGAGCACTAACGCTGCAAAAATCTTCAACCTGTACCCGCGGAAAGGGAGAATAGCAGTGGGCTCAGACAGCGACCTGGTTATTTGGGATCCTGATGCAGTGAAGATCGTCACAGCAAAAACCCATCAGTCTGTAAGTCCTCTGCTCGTCTGTGAGAATGCTAGAGGGTGGGAGGCGAGTAACGCTGTGCAAAAGCTTCCTGGCTGCTGGGAGCTCGGGGGACTCAGTGCAGGCAGTGGGCAATGCCAGCTGTGACTGTGGGGTAGAGTGGCTGTGAGCCCTGGGCTCTGCTTTTCTTACTCCTGAGCCTGGCCCACGCAGGTGTAAGGACACAAATTTCTCCTTATTTGGGTTCCTCTTCCAAGTACAATTTTTTCCTGGCTTTGCCAGGGTGCTTTGTTCATGCCTTACCTCAGGCCTAGGTCCTGCCCCACTCTGTTCTTGGAGTCCTTGCTCACACCGAGCTCCAAAGCAGCAGGTTGTGGTTCACGTTGGGAGCTCTGGTGGGTTCTTAGTTTGATGGACTAGTGAGGTGGACTAAAGGAGGCCTCTGGGGCCAGGAAGGCTGTTACAGGTGCCCTCTCCCCACACTGGTGACCTCAGCAGCAAGCTGTGGGGACTGAACAGACCTGAGGCGACAGGCAGTGCTCATGTACCTCCTGAACTGTCATCTCCTGGTTGCTGCAGGTGGCTGAATACAACATCTTTGAAGGGATGGAGCTACGCGGGGCCCCGCTGGTTGTCATATGCCAGGGGAAGATCATGCTGGAGGATGGCAACCTGCACGTGACCCAGGGGACTGGACGCTTCCTACCCTGCAACCCCTTCCCTGACTATGTCTACAAGCGCATCAAAGCCAGGAGGAGGGTGAGGAGACAGGAATGCCAGGAGACAGAGTTGGGAAACTGTTAGCTCAAATCACCCTTCTCCCCAATAACTGGTTGGTTTTCCAGTTGGCAGTGGGTGACACCTGCTCTTGTTGCTGTCCTGCTGCAGCAAGAGTCTGGAGGGAAATGCTGAGTTTAAACTAAAGAGACTGGCCGAAATGGCCTTCTCCTTTCCCATCCGTGCAGCATAAACCTGTGGCTGTTGCAGGGGGCTCTGCAGGGTGGGCGTGAGGGGAGGCTGTTACACAGGAGGTGGGCGATGGAGCTGCTCAATGCCACAGGGAGGTCTTGGGCATGCAGGACAGAGCGGCCCAGTGGGAATGGCCTCTCAGTGGGACTGGGGAGACGAGGATTGTTGGGGCATGGGGCTGCCATGGTAGGATGCTCCCTGGGAGCAGAAAAGTGTCACTGTCCTCTTCTCTCTGGTGACAGATGTCGGACATGCATGCTGTGCCCCGGGGCATGTATGACGGACCCGTGTTTGACCTGACCACCACCCCCAAGGGGGGAACCCCTGCGGGGTCAACCAAGGGGTCCCCCACCCGGCAGACACCCCCTGTCAGGAACCTACATCAGTCTGGATTCAGCCTGTCAGGTGAAGACACGCGGCGGCTGGGCTGGGGGGGTGCAGGGCCACTGGCCACACTGCTCCAGCCCCTGGCCTGGGGCAGGGGGCCACTGGGAGATGGCCTGGGGCAAGCTGAGCACAGAAATGGAGCATGGCAGGGTGAGGCACCATGTGTCCCTTAAAGGATGTGGCTGGAGCTGGCACCTTGCAGTAGAAACAAGGCAGACTGTGGCCATGGAGGTGCTCTTGCTGGGTCTGTTCATGGAGGAGCGTCTTACAGAGACGTTCGAGCCACTGCTGCTCTCGGTGTCATCACTGGAATTGGAGAGGGAGCAGATTTCTGTAGACAGCCTTGGGAGGCCCTTTGGCAAGACCCCAGGCTGCCTGACTGCTCAGTCCTGTGAAGAAAATGCTCTAACTTTGTTTTCCCCCTCCCCTTTGTGCTCTCCTGTCCTCTCCCAGGTACCCAGATCGATGAGGGCATGCGCTCCACAAGCAAGCGCATCGTCGCGCCCCCGGGGGGCCGCTCCAACATAACCTCCCTGAGTTAAACGTCCCTGCCCAGGAGGAAACAAAACCCTGTTCAAGCGAAGGAAGACAAATGGTACATTGGTGTTTAAGAAGGAAAAGCAAATAAACCTGTTCAGAAGAATCAATAAGCCTCAAGCCTTATGTTTCACAAATGCTACTTGCTACCTAGCTTTAAAGATATTGCTTCATTTTGTTTTATGCATAGCCTTAAAATTCTGTTGTTGTTGTTGTTGTTGTTGTGGGTTCGGTTGGGTTGTGTTTTTACCTTCCTTTCTGTATGCATGCCGCTCAGACAGGTCGCTCGGTTCAGTGTGTTACTCGTGTTGAACGCGTGCGGGATGCCGTGGTGCGGGACAGCCAAAGGGCCGGGACGGCAAGCGGGGCCCGGCCGGGGCCACAGTGAGGGATGGGGAGGACAGGTTCACGGGAGCTGTAGGGGCAGGTGGGTCTGTGTTGTGTTCGTGTCCTTCATCTCCACCCAACGCTCATCGGCATTTCTCCACAAGGCCCATGGGGGAGCCCGAATCATCTCTGTAACAGCTGTCACAGCACCTCGTGTAAGGAGTTTTACTACTTTGTACACTTTATTAAAAAAAAAAAGTTGTTCCTTCAAACAATTTGTGTTGCTGTTTGGCTCTTTTCTTCCAGGGCTGCTGCTGGGCAGGGCTGCTGTGGAGCTGTGCCCCGCAGGTGAGATCCAGGAGGGGCTCCAGGGGCTCCAGGAGGGGCTTTGGGTGGCGTTTGAGATGGAGGAGCCCCAGTGCAGGGACAGGCTGTCAGAGGGAGACCGCGCGGTGCTCGCTGCTCTCGGTGTGTTGATGCAGCTTCTCAGGCAAAAGCAGAGGTGTTGGCAGAACAATGTGTTGCAGGTAACAGTCTGTTGGGTCTGTGGGTCTGCTCCCCAGCTGCAGCTGGACCCGGCCGTCGCAGGCCGCGCACACCCGGTGGAGCCGTGCCTGTTGTCTGTGCAGTGACAGAGACCGGCTGCCGTGGCACGGCCAGGCCCTGGTGTTGGGTCTGCCCCGCTGTTTTCTGTGGGAGCCTGTGAGTTAAACGCTCCCTTCTATCAAGTGGTGTTTATCAAACCACAGCCTTCTAAAGCTTGCAAAGCATGCAAGAAAAGAAAACTTGATTGGATTTTAAGTATTACAAACATTAAGTGTCCATTTAGGCTGTGCTAAATAAGTGCACTTTTTTTTCTTCCTTAAGTATTTGACCTTGAAATATTTATTTTCACAGGCCTGCAGCTCAGAAAGCACAAGTTATCCGTGCAGCGCCCTCAGGGGCCGTGCCAGGGGTGGGGAAGGGGGCTCATACCTACACGTTTAGTGAGATTCTGCTACCAAGTAATTAAGGATGTTTTCCTGTTGCCTGGTAGTGATTAAGCCGAGAATGTGCCTCTGTTTATAGGGAAAGAGGGGAAAGGAGAGATGGTTGTAGATGTCGTCAGGGAATTTTTAAAAATGTGGTGTTCTTACCATTCAAGTACTCAAGTTTGGGTTTTTTTTTTTTGGTCAGCCAGTACAACGGTACTTATGCAGCAATAGATATTTCTCCAGCGAGGAACAGGGTTAGTTTTCTTGTCTGGGGCTCCAGATAAACAGAATTTTGGTGTACGAACCTCTCTGCTACCCCCAGGGGACAGGTACAGCTGCTGGGACTGTCCCTCTGGGCCACACCTGGCCCCAGACCTGCTGTAGGACCGGGCAAAAAACAGGATGTATGGAATCATCTGGGAAGGAGCCTATCATTTGCTGTTGGTTTTATTCTGATTTTTTTTTTTTTTTGAGTTGATCAGATTTAGCCAGAAAGACAGGGAGGCACAGGGAATACAAGGAACATCTTTGGGCAAAAGGGAGACAAACAGTTCATCATGCATTCATTATATTGCTGAGGATAGGAAAAATGTCAAATAAGGAGGTGAAACATCAGGTCTGCCAAAGCATTTAAATAATTGCATCATTCCCAGCATTACCCTAATAGAGATGTTTTGGCCAATCTCAGTCTTGGCAAAAACTGCACCAGAGTACAGCTCTTGCTGCAAAGAGTACCTGCTTAAATCAAACATGATTTCAATGGCAGAGCAATTGAAAATACACATTCGAATTTACCTCTGATGTTGGAAGCCAGACCCCATCAGATTCAGTGAGTTGCAGCAGTGTTGATGTGATGGTGAACAGGTTTTTCAGGCTGACCTGGAAAAGCATCTGGATTCGCCAGTGCCTGGTTGTCACCCTTCATCTCCACATCTGCGGCTCTGACCTCTCCCCAGCCAGCGCCGCTCTGCGAGATCAGGTACAGGAACCAGCGTGGAGAGGGGGAATCAGAGGGGAGGCCTTTGCTGCCTCCTCCCAGCCAAGGACGGAGATCATTGCCGCTTCCAGGCCCCCGTGCCCACAGTCACAGGACACTCGCAGGAGGCCACCTTTGTAAGCAAAGGCCACCTTTGTCACCAGGTGCTGGGGGAGACCCTGAGCTGAGAGCAGCCTCTTCCAGCTGGAGCCATCTGCTGCGAGCTCCTGTGGGAGGCCAGAGGTCCCCAGAGCCTGGACCCATCACCAGGAGTGACACCAGCGATGGCACCTCCAGAAGGGTGCAGGCTCAGCCTTTGGGCTGCTCTGCTGGAGGCCACCACGGGCTGTGACGCTGGCTTGCCCAGCTGAGAGGGTGAACACTCTGTGTCTCATCCATTTTCACAGTCATATTCCCGCCACCAAGAAAGGTACAATAATAGCATCCATGTCTAACTGCCTGTGGCAAATTGTGGAGGCAGGACCCCCAGCCTCTCCCCCCAGGCCCAGGACCCGCTGGGGTGGGGTGGGAGCAGAGGCGGGGGGTGCCCCAGCCCCAGGCTGTCGGCAGCATCCCGGCAGCGGGGGGTGAGTCCCGGGGGGCAGCGTTGTGCCGGTGGGCGGTGGGTGAGTGCTGGCCCCTCGAGGATGCTCCAGCCGGGGCGGTGCTGCTCTCAGAGGTTGTTGTTCTGGTTGTCCTCCTTGCACGTGCCTCTGCTTTTGGTCAATGTCATGGTCTCCTGGGTGGTGCTGTGGTGCTGCCTCACTCTTCGGGAGAGAAAGGGAGGGTTGAGCTGTGAGAGGAAGCCCAGGCAGTGCTGTGTCCCACGCAGTGACACAGCCACCTGGGAGCGACCCCATCCCTGCCATGAGAGGCCGCTTGTCCCACAGGGGCCCACCGAGCCCCCGCAGCCCAAGCCCCCACAGCCCTGAGCCCCCACAGTACCAGGGTGGGCACAAAGGGGGCAGGGGATGCAGTTGGTGGTTGTGGGCTCAGTCATGCACCTCAGGAATGGAAATGTCACATCAGTCCCCAGCAGACGACAGCTCGGCCAGCACTCACCCCAAGCAGCTCCTAACCCCCCTCTGCAGCATTTGCCAAGATGGCCCGACCCCCACTTCTGTCAAAGGCCAGGGTCTCTCATGCTGCCCCATCATCACTACTTACTTTTCTCTGTTGAAAACAATGAAGTCCCTCTGGAGCATCTCTAGGTGCTTTTGAAGGTGGCAGGCCTTTCACATTAGAATAGAAAAATAAAGAGATCATAGAACCATAGAATCATAGAACAGTTTGGTTGGAAGGGACCTCTAAAGGTCATCTAGTCCAGCCTTCACAGCTGACACAGAAAGACATTACAAGGACAATTTCAAGGAGATACAGAGAGGTCATTAGCTATAGAGCATCTTTAGCACTGCAGTGGGGAGAAGGGCACTAAGACTGTCCTCTCACACAAAACCAGTGTGTTTATGTGCTCCTTCCATCAAGGCAAGATGGGAATAAGTTGGTCCTAAGGGAAAGCCATGCTTGCTCTCACCTGGGAGGAATTGCTTTTGCTGGTGTCTTTCTCCTTCTTCGCCAAGCGCTTTTTTTTCTTGTGAAGAGGTTTGGATTCGAGGATCATTTCTTCCAGTTCAAAGGTTGGATCACAGTTCAGTCTGCCTTTCTGGAGGGGAGAGAGGTGGCCGTAAGTGATCAGGGCCTGGCTTGAAGGGTCTCTCATAAACTGGGCTGCATCTGGGAGCTAAATTTTGTAAAAAATAATTACACCTGCACACAGAGCCAGAACAGCTGCTGTACTTCTACATATTCTATCAGTGCCTGCAGCCAGAGGACACTGCCAAGGTGTGACAATTGCTTTTTGTACTTGCTGCTTCTACTCAGCCCTTTGGCTGCTTCAAGGTGATGGCGAGGATGCTGTGTCTGGCTGGGCTGTGCCTCTGCCGGGGGTGGGGGGGGCACACACAGAAACCTGCAAAACTGGTTTTCAAGCAACACACAAACACCCACCACAGAGAAAACCAGCAACAGGGCAGGGAAATACATACACTTAACAAATATTCATAGTTTAGCGCAACTTTTGTTTGGCTGAAAACCATTTGGAGTAAGACTGCACATGACAGCCCTTGGACTCTTTTACATCAGGGTTATGTTACTTCTGTGCTGCTTTAATCCAATTAAAAAAGGATCAGAAACACTAACCTACTGTATTTGTTATTTTACTGTGAACAATGGGCTTGTTATGGAGAGTCATTACAGGAAGAAACAATTATCATAAGGTGGGGGGTGATCTCCAGGCTGCTAACGAGCCTCTGTCCGTTCATTGAGGTTTGCGTTTGAGGACCTCGTCCCCAGGGCTGCGAAGGGGGCTCAGCGTGGGGGGCTCAGTGTGGGGCCTCAGTGTGGGGCCTCAGTGTGGGGGGGCTCAGTGCGGGGGGGCTCCAGGCACTGTCCGCCTGTGCTGCATCCGGTGTGACACAGTCCAGAGCATGTAAGAGCAGTCCTGCACCCAGAAATGCTGGGAATACTATGAACACAGCATATCAGTTTTGGGGCACCCACGCTTTGTAGCCACCCCCCCACTACTCTTTGTTACACCCACAGGAAAGTGACAAACATGCCCTTGCCTCCCTTTCCCCGTCCCATACGACATCTGACGCGCTTGTGCAAATCTGTCAGAGCCTCCCTTCAGCGGGAGCTGGGCGCAGGGACGGGCAGCCACATGGGATGTGTGGGCACGGCCAGAGCCTTTTAAAACCAAATTTCCTTACCGTGGGGATGAACTCCGGCATGATCCGCTTCTGCAGAACAGCATCCCAGTTCACATCCGACAGATAGGGAAAGCCCTGGATATCCTTCAGCTGAGAAAAACGCTTCTTGGGGTTTGGCTCAAGCAACTGCAGCGAGAGTTAAATGGAGGGGGTGAGAAAGGGAGACCCCGAGATGCGACACAGGAGATGAGGAACATCCAGTGTGTGTGGCGGTTACAGTGGGTGACGGCTGGGGCAGGGACATGGGGGGTCTGTCACCGCTGCCCTTTGTGAGGGAGGGGGTGGGACGGGCAGAGGAGCCGGGGGTCGCTGGGGGCTGCGGTGACCGTTTCCAGTTTGGGGCGGGCCGCAGGGACCCTGCCCAGGATGTCTCATTTTCATTAAAAAGTTTGAGTGTGTTTCATTAGAGCGGACAAAAATACTTCTACATAGTATTTGTAACAAAATTATAGATGAAAGCTACATTAAGTCCTACTTTATTGCCTACAGTTATTTGAAAATGAGAAAACTATTTACACACTTTGCAAAATTTGCAGCTGGTGCTGGCGGGGTTCAGCTTCGCTGCCACAAACGGCCTCTGACACTGTCCCTGACAACAGTTTTGTTTATTGAAGCTATGGCTTCACTTCAACATGATTTCAGCTTCAGAATGATTCCAGCAATGATTCTGAAGCAATTTCGAAAACAGCTTTGTTAAAAAAAAAAATTACAGTAGTGCATAAACCTCAGGCATCAAAGGACTTCAATGGCGTCAGCACTTCTTGCAAGTCTTTTCATTATTGGGAATAATGCTTTTTAATAATAAAAAAAAATTATGCAGTTTTTTGGCCAAATTTACCAACACATATATTAATGTCTACTCCTATGTTGTTTCACTCCAGAGAGACACAGTTATGGGATAAACTCTGGAAGCAGCACCTGCAGGTGTCCTTGGCAGAGCTGTGCTGGCTCCGCACCAGCAGGAGCCGTGTCCCATCGCCCGTCGGTCACCACATCACTGTGGCTGCCGCGTTAGAATCTGCCTATTTGTCACATGGTGTCACCTGAAGGTCACTCACACCGGGGCTGGACACCGTTTGCAGCGAACCCCCCCTCAATGTACTGTGAATGCTGGACATGACATGTCCCACCCCAGGCCATGGCTTCCACCCTGCCCTCACCTTCTTGATCAGCGACACCATCTCCGTGGACCAGGCAGCGGGGTACATCACTCTGGCCGTCCTGAACACGTGAGCGATCTCATTTGTGGAAGTGTTGGCACGAATATGGTACGGCCTCTGTGAAAAACGCCACAAGGAAAGCATTTTAATTTATCTACTTTTTCAGATTTATCTACTCCTCGTGAAAATCTCTAGAGCAAAGAAGCTCCAAAGAAAGACTGTACACTCCCCAAGCCTCCCATTGAAAGGCTCTCCTTGGGGATTGGAGCTCAGTTGAAATAATGATAATAATAACCATGTCAGCAAGAACAACAGTAGTAACTAGATATTTAAACAACATGACAGATAGAAGGCAAACCCCAAAAGCTAGTCATTAGCCAGCCTGTGTTTGCCTGGATGTTTCAATATTGGTATCTTAAAGGGCTATCAAAAAGGATTTTATACAGTGCAGTGGTTAGAGCATCCCCAATATTCACTGCAAAATGTGCTGCTGTTTTCAGTTGTTCATTCCTGTTGGATACGACACAAGTAAAAAGGAGCAGGATTTCTCCCACCTAACAAATCAGCTGAAAAAAAATGATGTCCCAGGAAGGGTTACAAGCTCTGTCTGTGACATCGGGCTCAGGATGACCCATCCCCCATGTCCCCCTCTCAGGGGTTCTGGGGGCACAGTGCTGGCTGAGCACTGAGAACGTGGTCTGAGAGGATGAGCCACACACAGCCACTGTCACCCACCAGGTGAAGTCACCTCCACCTTTAACTCCCCACAGCAACACTGCCCTACCTTGGAAGAGAGTTGACAATGGTAGAGTGTTTCCATTTTGAAATATTTTTGATTCCCAGATTTTTATGGTATTTCGGCGGGGGGGAGGTACATTTCAAAAATAATACCTAGAAATTGTGAGATCCAGCCAGTTGCTTTGTGGTTAACCCGTACCAACACTAGATGGACCTCAAGGTCTCCCTTCACTTCCCCCATGCGGAACCACCACTGGTGCCACCATCTCACCCTGGCTGAGCCTGGGGTTTGAACACCCAGCAGCAGAGTGCCATCAAGCCAAAAGTCACTGTGATGACCAGCCCTGCAATTCATTTAACTTTACAGATGGAAAACTCAAATACGATATTAATACGCTTATGGAAGGCACATGGCTTCAGTCTCCCAACAGGTCACACAACCAGGTCCCCTGAATGTGTACTAACTTGATCACTCACAATTTGTAACACTCAAATTCATTTAAAAATCCGATCTTTAAAATATATCGAAGAAAACATTTTTTTAGGCATTCTGCAAACATTGATGATGACTTTCTTAAAAATGTGTTTTCCATGCTAATACTGAAATACGTTTCCTGGCCTCACAAGATTTTAAACAACCTTTTGCTTAGAAGAATGTAATTTAAATAATTTTGTCCCACTTTTTTTGCACAGCACTTCCAAACCACTCATCTAACTATCTGTCTGCAAGGCCCCCAACCTTACCTGAGTCAGCAGCAGAGCATGGATGTGAGAGGCAGGGACTGTGCTTTATTAATAATTTACATATTGCGATTTGCTTTTGCTCAAACTGCTCAGTCTTATTACAACAGCAATGAGATTTTTTTTCAAGTTTTCTTTTTTTCCTTGCAGGACAGCAGCTGAAAGTAACCTATGCTGCAGCCCAGGCTCCAGAGCTGCCACTCGTTAATCAGCCCGGTTTCCTTGCCCATCTCTGGCCAGCCCAGGGCCCCGGCCGCTGCGGGGACCTGTTGCAACGTGATGTTCTGTGTCGCAATGGTTTCTCTCTGAGCTCTTAGCTGTGACCACAAGAACCCTGGTGAAGATGAGGTTTTTGCTCCCTACACTGGAATAATCCTTAAGGCCATGAATTTGGTTTGACCCTTCCACCCGTGTCGTAGAGCAGTGACCTTTCCAACAGAGTGATTAAGGCAAGAGAGGGATGGGGACTGGAGCCCTCGCACGTACCCGGGTCCTGAGCAGCTCATAGGCGGTGATTCCCAGTGACCACCAGTCCACAGCGAAGGAATAGGCGGTGGGTTTTGTGGAGTTAAACATTTCAGGTGCTGCAAAATACAGAAAAAAGAAAGTTTGCCTTGCTGCAATCTCAAGTGGGAATGAGCAATACAGAGTGCTTGATCCGTGCCACAGATCTGCCAGCGGCACGAATTAGCATATTACCCATTACCAAGCCTTTGATAATTTCTGTGTTTTTCTTCAAAACAATGGCATATGGCTGCTAGGCTGATCCTTTACCAAAACACCACTGAGGTGGACAGGAATCAGAATGTGCAGGTTTCCCTGCAGCAGCTTGACTTTTGGTCTCTGTCAGGCTCCTTGCCTTGAGATGCAGAAACACCCCGCAGCGAGGAGGACCCTGCGCAGACCCCGCAGCGAGGAGGACCCTGCGCAGACCCCGCAGCGAGGAGGTTCCGGCACCCTCTGCCCTGGTGTCCTGCTCGGCACCGAGCACCATCGCCGTGTGAGCCAGAGCTGACCCGGTTCCCAGCACGAAGCTTAGCCCAGATATTTGCCTGCCCTCGGAACAGACACACCTCGAAGCCTTGACCCTGCTGAGTAACGACGTGTGCAATTAGCACGGCATGAAACACTTTCTGACCAAAGAAGCGTTTCAGCTCCTCTGTGCTTTACTCTCCCCGCCAGTGAAATTTCTACTTGAGTGGAAAGTTACAAAACTTAATTGATGAAAGTGTTTAAATGATGGGATGGGCCTGAGAAAGAGGAGTGATACCACCATTATAACTGGATTGTTTAATGTTCAGTAGATACAATCCAGTTCATATGGATTATAGAGTGCTCTATATATACTTAGAGCTTTCCCAGACCCTATGAACCTCCTCCCCTGTACGAAGCACCCCAACCCCAGTGTCCCGGCGAGAGCCCCCCCTGCTCCACTCCTGCAGCACCGGCACCCCCATGGTCCCTCCAGTGGATGTCCCAGGGATGCTCTGCCCACAAACGAATGAAGTCCTCTTGCTGACACAGGACTTGCCTGTTACCACACAGCAAATGTGCTTCGGAACAAGGACTAACCCTAATTCACTGAATCTGGGCATGAAATTGGCCTGAGATCTCCTTGCCTCCCCCAAAAACCGCTCTGCCCTCGACGCAGCAGATCTGCACGTCAAAAGCTGCTCCCGTCCCACTCAAACCTCTCTGTTCACATTTAAAGCACTTCAATCTGGCAGAGCCTAAATCCAGCCTCACACGGAGAATGAAAGCAGCTTTTGAGAACCATTTGTATGGAGTGTAAACGCAGACATAGTGCCGACTGCACCCTTGGCAGGGAAAAGCAAATTTTAACTGAACGCAGCCTGAGAAACACAGCTTTTTAGGGGGAGGTTTCCAGGCTAATAGGAAGTGGGTGGAGGCACAGACTGAAATGCTCTTTCTTAGCCAAGAAATTTCCCTTTTCAGATTAAGGAAAAAAAATACTGTAGTATTTTTGTGTGAGCTGGGAGGTAAGAACTGCACTAAAAAACCAAACCAGGGAGCATTGCCTTCTTTTTGTGCATATTTTCCTTTTTAAAAGGATTGCACTGGTGGTGCGAAGGTGAAGGGTCAGTTTGGTCTTCTTGGTAAAAAGGAGGTTCCCAGGGGATCACCCCAAGGGATATGGCCACGCAGCAGCCACAGGGAGGCTGCGTTATTTAGAAGAAGGAGGAAGGGGGGGACATTCAGAGTGATGACCTTTGTCTTCCCAAGTCACAGTCACGCTGATGGAGCCCAGCGTTCCTCAGGGTGCTGAACCCCCACCTGCCATGGGGAGCAGGGAATTAATTCCTTGTTCTGCTTTGCTTGTGCGCAGCTTCTGCTTTGCTTATTAAACTGTCTCTATCTCCAACCATGAGTTTTCTCACTTTTACTCTTCTGATTCTCTCCCCATCCCAACCAGGGGAGTGAGCGAGCCGCTGCGTGGCCACTTCTGCACCAGCTGTGCCTCCCTTTCCCTCAGGCAATGCAGACCCATGACCACTGTGCACAACTGTCCTCTGTCCTGCTGTCTGAGGACAGCACCCTGTCCCCAGCACCCTGTCCTCCACGGTGGCCACCAGAGCCAACGCCTCGCTCGCCACTTCCCGATGCAGATCTGGCATCAGTGCCGCGGTGCTCTCGACCGTGTCAGCTGGACACCAGGGCAGGGCTCTGCCCCACGTGCCCAGCAGACGCTGCAGCCCGGGAACACCTAAAGTCCACACACTTGGCCCAAACACAGAGTAAAGCTCATTTTTAAAGCAGCCAGTTTATATAAAAATTCAAATTGTTGCTCGTGATGCAGCAGTGTCAGACTTGTGCTAATGCTTGGAGGGACCAAATACAACACTTTCTGCTTCACTTTCCCTCTCAAGTGTTGCAGGAGCATTTTGTCACTGCCACACAGTTCGGCTGCTGCTTGTGAAACACCCTGAGCTCTCAGGAGTGCAACTATCTCATTTTATAATCAAGAGCGTGCTGTACAGCATGGCATAACAGCTCTAAAACCTGTGTTTACAGTACGCCTGCTTTGTTTGTTGTGTGCAATCAGCAGAGGGATGTGCATTTCCCAGCTGGGCCAGGGTGTTACTGGGGGGCTGCCCCCGTGATCCCCCACAGCACCTTGAGACTGTTCCACACCTCAAACACATGGTATGTCACATGCCAGGAGGAAGAGTCCAAACTCTCATCAAAAAAGGCTTCCTCTGTACCCCACCATGGCTGTCAAACCAAGACCATAAAACAGCAATTCAAGCACACACAACTGTCATCGGTTCTTACCCATATAGGGCTTCGTGCCAGCAATGGTGGTGACCTGCGTTTCTTTCGTCAGCATCGTGGCAATATTGAAATCCGTGATGTGCACGTGTCCTGAAAGACAGAGGTTAATGTGCAACCTGGTTAGCTTAAATTTCATGAGAAACATCTTTGAATCAGAAACTTAAAGTAAAATACTCTATGGAAAGGAGTTTCCAGGAAAAAAGCATTCTGGTGGCAGAAGCGATGGAAAATATTTCATCTCACAGGCTGCTTAGAGATTTCTCTTGTTACATCAAATATCCCCTTACTTACCCTTTGGGGAGCAAAACATTGAGGTCTCCAAGAAGTCATTTAATGATGATTGTTTTGAGTCTTTATAAATTTTCAGGGAAATAGAACTGAACTTTTCTCACAGAAAAAAAATCCACTATGTTTTTGGAAAAAAAATAAAATCCTTTGTATTTTTTGCTTTCTAGCTACTTGCTGTTTGATGTCCCCAGGTACCAAGCACTCTCTCCATTTCCCTCTTCAGAGGATGTCTCTAGAATGGAACAAAATACCTTTGGCATCAAACAAAAGAGCCTTGCACAAGGAATTAAATCATGAAAACCCTTGTGGGGCAGGAACAGTATCACTCCCAGCACTATAGTGCACACACCTGCTGCCTGAAAAATGACCAGGAAACAAGAGGTGGATGTGATTTGCAGGGATGAGAAAGGAAATGCTTCCACCTGCCTCACCTGCCTCTTGCCTGCTTGTCTACTGGTGTGTTTGTGTTTTTTTTTTTCCAAGAGGTTAATTTATTTCTCTTTACTCACTGAACTCCTGTCAGGGAGCAGACCAACCATGTGCAGCCGTACAGGTGACCAGCACAAGTGAATTTCTTTGACACTCATGGGTTGCTTTGGCCTCATTCTCCTGGTTCAATGCCCTTCATCTTGTCTTCTCCTGACCTCGCACATCCTCTCCTCCGGCGCTGAACTTGCTCTGCCCTGACAGAGCTGGACTCCTTATCAAAGGCATCAGATGTTTTGGATGTTGTGTTTTGCAGACTCATCACCCTCCTCTGCAGGAACAGAGGGGGCTGAGTTGCTGTTGTTTCCTCTAACCACAGAGATCAAACCAAAGTGCCTTCTGTGGATAGGGACACTGTGGCAATGCTTCCCTCAGTCGTCAGCTTCAACAGCCAGGAATCACTGCTGCTTGAGCTGGAGGGTTAGAGTGAAATCACCTTTATATGCCTAAAAATTGATGCTTTGGCAATGAATTCCTGTTGTCTTGTCTGGATGCTATGAAACATTTAAGTAAATCTTCACAATTGCACCTATAGCTCTGTTACACGAGAACAGTGATAAAAGTTCGCCTGATGCAAGCATCTGATCTAGCTGGGAAAATTTGGGGAATAAAAGCAGAATTTGTAATTTCACCTAAAAGCAATTCCTGCCTGTGTCTCCTCAACGATAGTGTAGTGTATGAAGTGCAGGAGCGTTGGGCCCACACCCGGTATTTGCCATGGCCACGGTGCAAAGCACACCCCGGGCAGATTCCTCACTACATCTGCAGTGTTTGCCAGGCTTGGGCTTGAAGGAAGAAAGGAAAACCTGAGGTCCCTTGGGGGAGCGGTGGGCACCACCGGGAGAGCCAGCGAGGGGTCAGAGCTGCCCCCACCCCAGACGGGACCCGACCGATGTGCCAAGAGCACGTGTGTGTCCCGGCTGCTCGCGCTGCGCGACACACCAGCCCTCCCTCCCCCATTCTGCACACTAAAGACGGGGCAAAATCACCAGGGAGTACTCGAGAGAAAAGAATGAAGATACAACCGCCTTGTCTGGATGTGTCCTCTATGTCCTTGCATTGTTTTTTCTTTCATCTCCAGCTCTCATCCCACTTTCTGGGGAGCTCTTTTCATAAATGTGAATCATAAAGACTTACTAAGAATTTGATATTCCAAGCACAAACGTGCCTTGCTCTGGATGCATCTATTAAATGATTCACTTCAAACAAATCACAAGTTTTACAAACTACCCACCTGGGAGATTACCAGCTCAGGCCAAGGAGGCCGAGGCAGGGGCTCTGGGGGGGGAGACCAGGGACGGCAGCTCCCGGGAAGCGCGAGGGAATCGCTGGGAGCTGCTGCTGAGCTTTAAGGCTCGTGTTTTCCTGATTGCTCAGTGTCTCTACCTGCAGCCCGTTTGGAAAGAGACATGCTCCACATCATGTTCTTGCCAAAGCCCATCCAACCTAACACTATAAAGAATATGAAGCTGGAGGCATCAGGGACTGTGGAGCGTGAAGGCTCTTGGACAGACTGTGCCTTAACTTTCTTACCTGAGATTAGTGAGCAAATGGGCCATGCATGCCCTGCATTGGCAAGAACTCTCCCATTTTAGCACTGCCCTCGAGAACCCTTGGCATTGGTATAGGAAAGGCACAGTCCATTACAGGGCTCTTGCAGAAAACCTGAGTTTTATTAGAGATAAAACTGAGATTTTCTTCAATTTTATTAGACAAATGACCTGGCCAAAAACCCCTGAGCAATTAGTCACAATTCCTGGAAGCTGCCATCTGTTCTGTTCTTTTACCCCCAGGTGAGCCATGCTGCCATCCAGCCAAACCAATACCCTTATCGTTAAAGGAGGAAATCACTGTGCTTGGAATGACTGTTGTGGGGGGTCTTCTGCTGAGGAATTTTCCATTGTGGGACCTCATCCCAATCTCTGATGTTGAACAGCTGCTTTATTTATTGCAGAGAAAGACATTTCCTCAATATCCCACTTTATTTATGGCTCACTTTAATTTCCTAGCTGAAATCCGTATGGTGATAGAGAATGTCACCGACCAGGGTGACAGAGGCAAATGGATGAGGTGCACGTTAAGTTCCTGACCATCAGCAGCGGGACAACACATTGCAATGCGTGGCATCACAAGGTGCATTTGTACCATCAAGAACCTGCACCACCTCTTACACAGAGATCAGATGATGTGCTCCAGGGCTCCTGCAGCCTCCTTGTGGATTCACCACAGCAAAGAGGGTGCTGCAGTTTGTAACAGCCTTTGGGTATATACATCTGGAAGGGTGAAGAGTCACAGCTGGAAAGGAGCTTCACAGCTGGAAAGGAAGGCGGCCAAAGGGCAGCGTGGGGTGTCAAGAAGAATCTGAGAAATGAAGGACTGCAGTCAGATTGCTGAAGGTCTTCAGGTGCTTCATACTCTCAGGGGACTGGTCTCGATCAAGAACATTATGAAAAACTGATGCCAGCAAATAGCATGATTCTGTGATCATGGTTGTGGAAGCCTGGTGAAGGGAGAAGTGAGGCAATGGGGAGCTGCAGCCCATTCCACGAGGAAAGAGATATTGAAAAACAAACACCACCTACTAGGCTAAATATAGTTAAACGTGCTACGGTGACAATTGCTCTGGGGACAAGAGAAAAATGGCACTGTCTTTGCACAAAGCTTTCTGTATGCGTGAGAGGACATACCTCTGCTGCCATGGATGAAGAAAAGAAATACAAGTAGTCAGAAGGACACTGAAGCCAAGGGTACATCCACAGAAAATAACTCTGAACCTCTGCAACAGTTAAAACATCACAGTGAGCAGAGAACAGGCTCAAAAATCAACCCAAATTGCAGTGTCATTACCGAAGCCTGCAGGTTCCGTCCCGCGGAGCTGAATGCAGCTGCAGAGACAAGCAGAGCTTTCCCCTCTGTTCCTCCCCTCTTGGAGCAATGGGACCTACATCTCCAGGGCTCTCCTGTCCCCGCTCCCTCGGGGGTGGCTGTGTCACCCCGTCCTACAGGGCACGGGGCTTCCCGGAAGACAGGGACAGGTCACCCCAGAGTGTCCTGGGGTGAGGGCTGACCGAAGGCAGCGCTGGCCACCAGTGCTGGCTGGAAAGGTGGCCCCGGGGCCATGGCTGGACCAGCAGGTCCTGGGTGGATGCTGGTGGAAGGGAGGATGGATCTCTGCATCCATCCAGGGGCAAGAGCAGGAGAGAGGCAGCGAGAGAGGCTATGGCACTTGGAGGCAGAAGGACGTTTGCTGACAGCTCCTAAATAAATAATTAGCCAGCACTTTGAAATTAGAGGTCATATGCAAAACGGTGCTGCCAGGCAACCCCAGCCACACAGGAGAGGCACTGCCATTCTGTGGGAGCTTCAGCATCTCCATTACAGCCTCTGAAGTGATAATGAATTCAGATACACCTTGTCCCTGTACGGACTTTTTCTCTTGGAGTGCTTTGCTGCAGTTGCTAATGAAGATTTCTCACAATAAGCCAGTTACATGGATGTTAAAAAAAAACCTAAAATGACAAAGTGTTTTTCTAATGAGTTAAAAGCTAATAAATATCAGACAATTCTTCACTGTGAGAGCTTTGCCAGGACAAAAATGGTGTGTAGAGAGTAATGCAAGAGTTTTGCCTGAGAAAAAGACTAAAGAAAAAAAATGATAGCAACTTCTGTAATATACCCAGCTCCAAATCCTCTTTGGAGCTCCCTCCCAATGTCAAATGCTCAAGGAAAAGGAAAATACATGAATGAAGAGTATCTATTCAACCATAATCCATTCTGTTTGCAAGCATACATTACACACAGCCTGCACATTGCACACAGGAGCATTTCCATTAAAATTATGACATTTGAGTGACTTTTAAGCAAGAGCCAAAAAGGTTTTAAAATGAGGTCTGCTGGGCAAAATGTGTGGTTCCCACCAATGCCTTCGACAGACACCAGGAGGTCGGTCAGTCAGACTAAACAGCCCCAGAAATACCACAGCATCCCGGGGTGCCCAGCGCCCTGAGGGTACAGGACACTGCCCCCCAGAAAGCCAAAGACAGCAACCAAATCACGGGAGGATGGTCCCGTCCAAACTGAACCCGGGAGGGAAAGCCACACAAATAAGGAAAGCAACAGGCACCTGAATTTGAACTTCCAGGTTTCTGACTCTGCTTTTATGCACAGGCATGACCCCAAAGCAGCAGCACTTACCGTGCTCATCCAGCAAAATGTTATCAGGCTTGATGTCTCTAAGGAAAAAAGCAGAGAAGGGGAGAGAGCCATTAGCCTGGAAAAGGGACAGGAAACAGTGGTAGAGCCTTAGGGCAGCCCAGGCCCTGGGGGGACACAGGTCAGAGACATCAGGCCCCAGAAGGTGTCTCTGGTGGGGCTCCTCAGCTCTGATGTATCCGCAGGGTTTGATTTAGGCATGAGAAGGACTAATGGTACAAGAGGAGGAGTGGTGGGGCAGGGCTAGGGCTGTGAAGGCTGCTGTGGTCTGGTCCAGCAGCACCCAGGCAGCCCACCCGCAACGACAGAGCTGATGTTCATCTTTTTCCTCCTTTTACTTCTTAATCTGTTTCACTACTATATTGAGAGCTGTTCCCCATTTACTCAGTAAAAATCAAATTATTTTAACATCTTTGTTCTAGAAACAAATGGGTTCTGCACAGGTTTTGTCCCTGAATAAAAAAAACAAAAACAAAACCCAAACAAGAAAATAATAACACCTACAGCAAGGCTGCAGGGAAATGCTTTCTGCTGAAGGGAGAAAAAGTACACCTGATACCCCTGCTGTGTACACCTGAGCGACTGTACAAGACATTACCTGGTTTTAATGAGCTAATTACATCATTCCCCATTCACCTGCTATCAGCCACCTGGCAACCGAACGCCCCACAAGCAGCCCACAAGGCAGGAACACGTGCAACAACCCTGCACCGTCCTCAGGCTGCCTGCTATCCCCAGGGGCTCAAAGGGAAGAAACGAGCACGTTTAGGATTTCATCTTTAAAAATGCAGTCACTAAAGATAAAGTTTGAATTCAGTAGCTACTCGGAATTAAGGAAAGACAATATATCTAATTATCATGTAACAGGTTACAGTTCTCTGGCACCTTCTCACCAAAACTCCTTCCCGTGGGTCACAAATATCAGTCACCTCCTTGTGCCAGCCCCATCCCATGGATAAGCACAGGGACGGGGGTCCCTGGCAAGAGAGAACGGGGCAGCTTTGCATAAGTGGCTGGTTTTCCCCGAAAATGCAGCAAAACCGTGCCCCAGGGCAGGGGCAAACAGCCCCGATGGCCAGAAGTGCTGTTTTTGATAGCGAAAAATGGTGATGCCACCACACTCGAGTGTTTTAGAGAAAACACTAACTTAAGAAAAAACTTTAAGAAATGTTTCAGCAAAAAGAGTTTGAAAAAAATGCATTCTTTGAATCCCTTGATACAGAAATATTGTCAAAGTTTTGAAATGAACCATAAATACAGGTGTTCATTTCTCATCCAATTTTCAACTTTTCAATTATTAATTTTTTATCTCCTCTGGGGCGTTCTCTGATCTCAGTCTGCTGTGTAGCCTATGGAATTACACCAGCACAGTGACATCATTCTCAGGGTGCAAACAAGGAACGGGGATAATTTTGTTTATTGATTATTTGTATATTTATTTTTTATAAAATGCTTATACCATTTCCTAGCCTGAAAAAATGAACAAACATACCCCACTCTTCTACATGTAGGTGGGCAATGATTCCAGCCATCCCTCTGTTTTGCTGCCCGGGGGGAGCTTTGTTCAGAGAAAATAAGCAATGGCTTGCCTTCTCCTGATGGTCCCAATTACAGATGTTGCAGTGTAATTGACTCAGCCAAGTCACTTTCTCAATCTAACACTGTCCCATTGGGACAACCTGTGGTACAGTGTTAATTAAATCACTTGCAAATTTTACAGACCGTCATACATGTTTTGTTGTACTCAATTCACCTTCAACACTGCTGCTTGAAACACACACTGCAGCCTGAGCTTTAGCTTCTCCTCCCTGTCTTTGCAAATAAACCTCTGGGAAATTCCAGGAGTTTTGCCCCTTGGTGATCTCTTCGCACCTGCCCTTACGCAGGACATCACCGCCCCTTGGTGATGCCAGTGGCCAGGGGATGCCAATGGCCAGGGGACACCGATGGCCACAGCTCTGCAGGGATGTGGCTCACAACGGGACAGCAGCCCCCGGGCACCCTCTGCTCCCATAGATGTCATGTCTGTTACGAGGAACAGCCTCCTCCTACTGCAGACTCATTCTTCATCACCAAATTGTGAGGAACCTCCAGCCCCTCGCCCTGCAGACACCACAGCTGACACTAACACATCCCTAAAGGAGAGGGATTCCTGCCCTGTGCCTCCCCTGTCAGTGCCCCACGCAGTTTGCTCAGGCCAAGCCAGCAGCAGGAGGGTCCAGCACAGGAGAGAGGCAGCCGAGTTGCATTTCAGGATGTTTAATTCATGCTCATCCATTGTTTGGTGCCAGGGAGCAGGTGCTGGGTGGTGGTGGCCAATGTCCCCGTCACCACACACCGGCTTTGCATCCCACCACAGAGAGCCCATCAGAGCCTGAGCAGGGAGCTGGGGCGGCCGCCCGCCGAGATGAGGGGCATCAGAGCAGAAATCCATGCAGGTGTGAAACAAAACAAGCAGGTGAAAGCTGAGACTCCTGAGAAAGCGGGACCTGTCCCTGGGGAGGTCTGGCTCCCACCGACGCAGAGCAAACCCCCTCAGGGCTCTCCGCAGGGGTGAGGACGTGCTGCAGGCATGACGAGCACCAGCCTTTCTGCTTCACATCTCAAATGGCAGCCAGACGGTACCGACATGAACAAGTGTTAATCTCCATCAGCCCTTGACTGGCGCGTTCCTTCCCTGACTAACAACCACCATCATTTCAATTTTAAATTCTGAACCACGCTTTATTTTTACCCCTCATAAGAATGCTCTCCTGGAAACAACCTTCTCTCCACCCTTACTAACCCTCTGCCAGTCCCTCCCTGTTCGTACCCTGTTACCAGCTCCTCTGTCAAACTCTTGGACCCCTGAGATTTGCACTGCCCAGAACACCAGAAGGGAACAGCCGCGTGTCCGTCCGCCCGTCCGGAGCCAAACCCTCTCCAGAGCCAAAAGCTCTACCTCCTCCATTATTCTGCAGGTCCTCGAACACGTGGGAAGAGTTCAAATATTTTCTCACTGGCCATGAAAAATGTTGGTGGCCGAAAAGAAACACTCACCACTTCCAGAAAGTGATTTAACCTCACAGAAAAAAGCTGCATTTGGTCCCACTCCTTGTGTCTCAGTGCGGTACCAAGAGGGGAGCAAAAGGGAGACACCTTCAGTGTGACAGCCGGGGAAAGCTGAACGCTGATGCCTACCCTCCCTGGGCCAGGACAGATATTAACAAGCTACAGCTAATCAAACCTATTAGAGACAGTTTTTTGCAGGATGAGCAAACAAATCAAACATGCTAAAACACAGCCATCCCAGAGGGAGAAACAACACGCTCCCTGTTGTACATAAAACGCTTTTCTCTGGGAAAGCAAACATGCGTGGGAGATGTTTGGTTTAGCTCTTGAGCTTCTATTTGTCTTTTCACATCCAAGAGGAGCAGGTCGAGCCCCACCACAGCCTAGAAGCACCGGTCCCCAGGGGGTCCCCAACTGACCTGTGGATGATGTGCCTGCTCTGCAGGTAGTCGAGGGCCAGCACCAGCTCACAGATGAAGAGTTTCACGGTGCCTTCCTGGAACCGCACATTCTGTTGGAGGTGGTAACGCAGGTCCCCTCCCAGCAGCAGGTCCACAACCATAAACATATCTTCTTCATCCTGGAACGAGTACCTAAAACGGCATAAGCATGGTCTGAGGATGATACCATTGAAAAAAGACAGGTTAAAAAAGGGACATACGGTACCTCTGAGAATACTCAGAATTTCTTCGAACTTTTTCACTTGATAAATAATTTCATGACCTTTCCATGCTCCATTTCTCACTGTGACCAAACTCCTACCACCTATACTCTCAAAATAACTGGGCGGACCTGAGAGACGGGGCTGGCACCCAGCACACTGCCAGGAGAGGCCACGGGCGGCCACTAAAACAGTTCCCTGTTGACCACAGAGGGGGCAGCTCCAGAAATCACTCATGTCATATCTCTGCTGGTGCTCTGAAAGCCACCTGAAAAGCCTGCGCTGCCCCAGCTACCACTCGCGTACACAAGATCCCTCCAAGGGACCCTGAAAGGTCACTTGCTGTGACATCCCCGCTGACCGAGCCATGGGTAACTCAGGACAGCAGTGGGAATCCAGCTTGGACCTCTGGATAAACCCTGTCTGCTCCCCTTTGGGTTCACTCTCAGATTTTCAACATGGACTTTTCTCCTTCTCCAGGCACCCGAGGGAATGTGACCAGCAGAGCCCAAAGCCAGCATGCCCCGTCCTGCAGACCGTGCACCAGAGGCACCCGGAACCGGGGGCGGGTTCTCTCGGCAGCAGCCGGTTATAAACCCATTTTCTCAGCACAACAGGGGATGCAGCTGCTCTCTGCTGCTCCTCTTCAAGTGACCTGATTCGATGCAATTATTTACCAAGCGTCCCTCTGAGACAGTCAGCTATGAGATTTCTTCCCGTAGATTTTTTTTCTTACCAGTACACCAGCTTTGTGATGCGATGAGGAGCACCACAAACCAGAATTACTCGACATGAAGCTACAGTCTGTGTGTCACAGAGTGCAGGAAAGCTAAAGGCTGTACCTGAGGCCAGGGATGATGTGATAAGAACAGAAGCAGTGAAATTGGGATCATTTTCTCTGTACGGGTCTATGACACACATATACTCTCTAGTTCTCAGCAGCTGAGTGAGTTCTGCCTGGAACCACCTGTTCACGTAGGAAAGCAAAGTCTGGAGATATGTCCAAAGCCCTGGGAAGTCTAGATGCATGGTTCTCATTCAAACCCGAGTTAGATCAACACTGAATGGCAATGCCATCGAAACCATGAGAGTCCACCTCACAGCACTCAAGTTTCAGGAGATTTCAAAAAGAAACACAAAGTTTTTCAAAGATTTGTGATCTTCAATGTGATTTAGCCTCATTTTTTGTATTCAGCATTGGTAAGCTCTACCTCATTCTAGAAATAAATCCAATAAATGTAATTACCCACCATCCCAGAGGAATCGTGTAACTACAGGATATTGGCCGCTGCACCATGTGGTGTATGAGATCACATCACTTGAAATGTTACTGCTATAAAACTAACCTGGCAGACTCCAACACTAATAGAATCTTGTTTAAAATTCCTTTCTACTGCCCACTGCAGGAAAACATGCTGAATCTTATGAAGGGGGAAGAATTAGTGCATCTTTTATCACTCAATGGTCAATCCCATTGCTAGTGGTTGAAAAAGAACTATAACTAGAGCACGTAGGTTGCATTTATCAGGTTTAAAAGGAAAGAGACTCTTTTATGTACACATTTCCCATATAGATATATGGTTTTCTGCAATAAACTTTGAACAGTATCATTTTTCTGTCAGTAAATTCAATGATAAATTGCTTTTGTCTTTGCTGATTAGCATCAATTCAGTCGAATATCAATAAGGCATTAAGGAAGGCTATTTAAAGTGCAAAATAAACCACAAATCCAGAGTCAGGAGGTGATGAGAAAGAAGTGCTGCCAAGGGAAACCCTGGGAGCAGAGCACTGCTCGGCTATCGATCCCGGGTGTCGCTGCCTGGTCCCGGGAGCTGCTGCTCATTGCAAAAGAGCACAATTAAATAGAACTGGGTTATGGTAACGAGCAACACCTGCTGAGGAACAAACCATGGGGAACACACAAATAAACTCTCTTGTGCTTGTCTGGGGGACAAGAGGGACAGCTTCTTCTTTAATTAAACAAGATTCCCCTGAGACCGGAGCCCCGGTGAGTGGCATAGACAAGGAGCCCCCTCCAAGGAACCACAGGACAGGATGGGCACCCCGTGCACCCACACGTGTCCTGCAGCACAGGCACCCACCCCACCTGCAAAGGTGTCTCTCAGTGACACTGCTGACCCAGCCAGTGAGCAAAGGAGCAATATCTTACCATAAATTAACTAAGAAGGGGTGCTCCAGGCCCTGCATAATCTGCAGCTCCTTGAAAACGTTTCTCACTTCGTTACGCTCCACGCACTTTTGTTTATTCATGTATTTCATGGCATACATCTTCTTGGTGTCGTTCTTCTGCACAACACAGACCTACGTGAGCAAATCAAGGGATAAATCAGGAGATGACACGGCAGCAAACGCAGGCGGGTAAGACCCAGTCACACGAGCGTTCTCCAGTGGCTTGGGCAATGTCCCCACTGCCAAGTGACAGCTCCGGGCACCAACGCTGCAACGCCGGGCACGGCCAGCAAATCCATCACCCAGCTCCTGGCCAAATAAGAGATTCTGCTGGGGGAAGGTGAGGGGAAAGAATTTATCACCACAAAGACAGGAGATGGGGAATTGCGCACAAGTCAGCATTTTATTTACTGCGCTAACTAATCCTGGTGGTGTCCGTCCCTCCCACCCCAGCTGCTGCCTTTCCACCCCAGAGAAAAGAGTCCTTTCCACCTCAGAAGGGTAGGTTGGAAGCTGGGGAGCAACACCTGAGCTCCCCCTTCTTGGTGAGTTTCATTCAGCTCCCAAAGAACCCTGGGCTTTGTTGGAGGGGTGTTGGGGTTTGAATTTTGACCCTTCTTACAGTGGTATCTCAAATCTAGAAACAAACATTGCTTCAGTGAAAGACCCAGAGTTTCTAAAACTACAAAACAAACAGACTGCTTTTCAGATTTGTTTCCACAACAGTTTATGAGTTTAGGATGAATTTGCAAAGTTTCAGTCAACCTTTTTTGTTTCACCACCAAATAAATCTCTGTGTCTGGAGATCTTTGCTGCACACTGCACCCACGTCACACCCCGTTTCTGGCAGGAGAGTGCCTTTACATGAAGGGGCAAATGACCTTCTAGAGTTCTGTCAGCATGTACAAGCAGAGAACTCCATAACAGCATAAAAATAAAGCATATGACCATAACCTGATGCTTAATACTGAACACTATGTTCCACAGACAAATATCCTCTTTAAAAAACTGCCAGGCCTTTCAGGTTGACTGTAGCTCTTTATTAAAGATGCACCATGATGTTCAGTGCTGCTTCACTGGGGAATCTCAGAAAGTGCCCATCCAGAAACATAATGAAATTTAGCTCATTTGATTTATCAGTATCTCATTTTAATCTCCTGTAACATAATTTATGGCTACGGAGTGGATGAAGGATCAGGCTGTGATTCCTTCTTGATTACCAGGAGTTGAAGCTCAGGTCAAAGCTCATTGACAATGCAGGGGTTTATTTCTTTACTCTCATGTGACTCTAATTTGCCCATTTCTCAGTTACATTTCCAACTGTCCAAATGGTGATTAGTTCACAAAACACTTACTTTTCCGAAGCTGCCTTTCCCAATAGCTCGCAAAATTTCAAAATGGTCGAAGGTGACTGCAACAAAAAGCAAACATTCAAACATTAAGGCATTAGAAAAAGGTCTGGTAGATTTATAATAGCTCATCAGCGTTCATTAGTGTGATGCCTGGAACTGAGAGATACCACCCACATGATGGGCTTGAAATCCCAGAGTTCGTTTCCCTCCTGCCCCTCCAGCTTCCCTGCTGGCAGAAGGGGCTGGAGCCAGCAAGGGAGGGCTGTGTCCCCACGGGATCAGACACCACGTCCCCCTCTGCCCTGCAGCCATCCCCTCCCTGCTGGGGCCAACCACCACCACTGCTTTAACCCCTTCTCAGAAGGGAACCGGCCGCGCGCTCCCAGGGCTGGTGTCCAGGTCCCAGGGGCAGGTTGGGCTCTCGAACACCCGTTCCTGGTGCACTAACAAAATGCATGCATTTTCCAAGTAAATTAACCAGGCAGACTGGGTTTCCTTCAGCATAAACATGATGCACCAAACTGCCATAGGGTCCACTAAGCCTGCAAAAGCCCACTAAGCCACAAACCCTCCAAAAGAAAGGCTGGAAACGGGCACTGCATACTTGGCCAGGAGAGTAATACCCACTGGGTAACCCAGAGAATAAATTTTTTAAAGTGGGCACACTAAATTAATTTTTTTTTCCTTTTCATTGCCACTATCTTTTCAGTTAGGACGCCATAATCTAGCCAAAGCAAAGTTAATGGTTTCCAGCTATAGCACTTGGAAAAAAGGCTTTCATGCACAGACGCCCTTTTTCAAACCTGGAACAACATCTGCCAATATCAGAGCTAAATACAGGCTGGCAATGACCAAGTTTTACCAGATCTGTTTACCAGTCAGGCCATCCAACAGCAGGGCAGTGGATATAAAGGGACCGTGAAGATGCTTATTGCCTGCAGGGACACGGGAGGGGACAGAAGCCCCTGGGACACCGGGGAGAGGTGACCCGTGTCACCCAGTGTGGTCCCAAGCGCGGGAGAGGGAGACGCCAGGGGTGGGACCGTGCAGGGCTGACACAGAGTGCAGAGACCCCAACAGACAGCAACATCTGGAACAGATGCAGGAGTGAAGCTGACAGCCAGATGTTGCATGTTAACACCCTCTACCTCCATTGCCTTTTAATGAGAATGCTTTCACGAACATGTTAATACCATCTGCCTCTTTGTCTTTTAATATTAATATTTTTATGAACATTTTAAACATGGATCTATAACTGAACTGGTCGTAAGAAAGCCAAATTGCATACTTTATATTTAAGACTCTCAAACGAGGTACAATCCCATTTTAACCTCTGTTTTAGCTTTCCTACCATCCCTGAGCCAGTCCAGAGTCTCACTGCCAAAGAGCACTGAAATTTGTGGTGTCCAAATCAGGAACCAAACACATGCTCTTTGTCCTGGATTCACATCTACAGATTTGACAAGCCTCAGTTCACTGCCTGATGGCATCTAAAACAATGAAAAAGCCAAAGCATTTGCCCTTCAGAGAGAAAATTCATGTGATATGCCAACTCAGGCAAATTGTGTTTAAGAGATGCCAAGGAAGATAACACAGTTGCTGTAAAGAACCAACTGAAGTATAAGTACGAAATACCACTTCGAAAGCCAGGGCTGTATTTCTAAACCCAGGTTCAAGGAACGGTAGTTCGATAAAAAATACAGAACCAAACTAGCCATGCAAAATGTCCTCATCAGAGACAAGACAGCCCTGCCACAGCCCCCACTGGAAGCCACTGCTTCAGGGGGCTCACGCCCCCCCCCCCCCGTCACCCACCCCAGTACAGCCAGCACAGCACCGCACAGTCTGTTACGACTCGTCGTCCTTCTGTCACTGTAATTTCCCCCATTTTCATTACATTCCCTCCTTCCCTTCTCTGCAGCCTCAGAGAAACAGGTGCCACCACAGGACCAGGAATGCGAACGTGAGTGGCCCCCGGTACCGGGGAGCAGAACTCCCGCAGATCCGGGCAGAGGAGCAAAGAGGCAGCAGATTAAAAGAGAATGGGTGACAGTGGCCTGGGGAGGGCACAGGCAAAGGACCATGGGATGATGTACGTCCCTCTCACCCAGCCATTGTCCTCACCTACTACCTGCTTCTGATTTATCTCCCCCCAAATTTGGCCAGCTGGGGAGAACATCTGGCTGCCATCCTCCGGGATGCTTCCCACACCCTTTTGCCCAGAAGTAGCGCAAACAAAATCCAGCTTTTACCATGGTCTCATCCCGAGTGCATCAGGAGGCGAGATCACCTTGCAGCACTGAGCCTTCTGTCTGGTTATTACATTTTTCTTTTCATCTCAGTAGCTTATTATCCACAACTGTGCCTACTCAGAGGAAATGCCGACAGAAAACTAATGCTGTCATCCCGCTTCAGCCGAAGGCAAAGGAGGCCCCCTTGAGAAGGCCATCTCAAAAAAAAAAAATCATGGTACCACAGAAAATAAGCAAATTATAGCAACAGCAATGTGTTGTGGTTTTTTATTATTATTATTTTAGGCAAATTGCTAGGTCTTATAGAGAAATGAAATGACTGAACACTCCAGCAGGGTTCTCTGAGCAGCAGACCCAACTCCCGGCGCAGCGGCAGCATCGGGCCCGGCCAGGGGACAGAGCAGGGAACGGCCGGGGTGGGATTTGGGCAGGGGAGAGGTGGGTACATCCCCGGCACCGCAGCCCTTACAACGCTCACGTTGTTGCTGTGTCTACACAGGTCCCAGAGGCACCAACGAGAGGAGGGACTTCTCTCCAGCGGCCAGTGCAGGACCTGCCAGTGTCACCCAGCAGAGGAGCCGCTGTCCTGCTCCCCGCTGTGCCCAGCAGCTCTTAATTCATTTCAATTTAATTGACATTAGAATAAGGACAAGATTGTGACATCTAAGGTGACACAGTCTCTGGTCACAAGTTTGTCAAGATAATGGAAAAGTTAATAGGGGACATCCCCATTTCAGCTGGGTTTTTCTGCCTGCAGTATATTAAAATAAGACTAATTAGAGAAAAAAACACTTTTAAAATTTGGGCAGGGCCATGGAAGCACAACTGCACTGGTCTGGACACTGTACCTGGGAGTGAGGGTGACCCTTGAGCCTACAGAGACTCAGCAGATCAACACCAAACCCCTTGTGATGGGTCTTTCCTGGTCTTTTCCCTTCACTTGCCAGCACAACACACAAATGCACCAAGCGTGGGGAACAGCGTTTCACTCAGCCCTGTTCCCTCTGCAGCAGAGCTACCAGGGGCTTCACAGGCTGCCAGGTTCAGTTTGCTGAAAACAACCCCTTTCCCAGTACAGAATTGGCTCCCATAAGAAATCACCTGCCGAGGAGATTTACTGGGGAACGAGCTGCTGCGCAGGGTGACTGTTCCCCTCCCCAACAGCCACCGGCAGCACCAGGAGCACTAACGGCACCACTCAGGATATAATCACTGCCTTTCCAGGATGGAAATGTGTTTCTCTCCTCAATGAGCTGAGTGAGAGAGACCAGGTTTTGGCTGATGTCCCCTCCTTTTCCCCTTACACCCCCAGCAACTGGGATTACCTCCTCTCTGATTGGAGTTCTTACCTTCGGAACTGCAGTTTATGAGTCATTTAGGGTCTCATATTTTACTTTTACTTGTACCTATCTGTATTTATCTACATATACATTTTATGATTGCACCCAGGTGAAAGCCCATATGGCAGCTATCAAGCTGACTCATGCAATAGGAAATGTATTTATGGAACAATCTTTTAATGACCGTCTCTATAATCTTGGCAGCACGGTGACACTGGCCTCCAGTCCTGCTCTCAGCAATGTATTCTCCTTCTCCAGCCAACCAAGCCTGTGTACTGGTCTCCCAGTGCCAAGGGGCAGAGATGCCCATCTGGGCAGTCACCAGGAGCCCCCACCTCTGCTGCTGCTGCCCAGGTCTCTCTTGGTGGCCTTCCCACCAAGCCCAAAGCAGGGATGGGAACAGGCAGTGCTTAAGCTGTCTTCCATCATACCTTGTACTGGTCCTCCCTGTGCTGTCATCTCCAGAACAAACCTCCCCTGACTCCAGAAGAGCCGCATTTCTTCCTGCCTTCAAAGCGCCTGGCAGTGTCCCAGAGACATCTCAAAACCAAACCTTGGCCAGCAGTTATTGTCCCAGTGTCTGGCCGCAGGGAGGGGAGGCAAAAGGACCACCCGACCCACCACAGCTCTGCAGCAGATCCATGGCACGCTGCTGCTGCAGACCTTGGCTCACCCACACTTAACCAAGACATCCAGGTGTTTGCAACCCCAGGACGGGAGCTGGTGGCCACCCTCAGTGTCACCGTCTCTGCTCTGTTGGACTCTGCAGTCCCAGACAACAGCTCAGAAAAGCTCTTACCGTCCTCATTTTCATCGAAGGGTGGTGATTTGCTGGAGGTGTTTGCACCCATGGTGTGTCCAGCCCCGCTCAGCTCGCTCCACTCCCTCAGGTACGTCACCACCTCCAAAGCTGGTGCCTCCAGGCTGGTGTCACCTGCAGGTCACTGCCAACAGACCTGGGCAACGTTCTGCTGGTGCATCCTGGAGGAGGCAGGAGGCAAAAACTCATCATTCAGGATTAAGAAGCATTTTGCAGCTTGCAAATTTCTGCCTGGAGGTTCACTGCTCCAGGGACAAAAGGGAGTATCAGGGAAAAAGCACATTAGAATGGAGTTCACCACAGAAACCCCATTAACATCACAACCTAGACCAGGACTGCTGCCCGCTCAGGGAATTGCAGAACCAGACTAACAGACCAAAAGATCTGATGATCTGGCTCATGTTTGCTGACCATTGAACATACATTTTGTAGCTTTAATGATGTTATGACCAACTTAGAGATGATAAAGCATGACTAATTGTAGTGAGGTTGATATCCAAAATAAATGGATATAGTGACTTGGCTAAATAAAATCAGAAATGCACTTTTGACTACTAAGGTAACGCAGAAGTGTAAAAGCTATATAAGAAAAAAATTCAAAGTGTCGACCTTTTGATTTAAGCTGTTACAGAAGTCTCATTTGGAACAAAATCATACTGGTTTTTTTTTTTTTTAAATGAAAATCATTACTTTTTCTTGGGCCAAGATGACTAATGCTTAATGCATTCACTTCATGCTCAGTTGGACCACTCGCTGTTGCACGAGCAGCAGCTCCTCTCATCAGTGGTCCCAGGATCTCAGCAAAAATTACACAAGTATGAGAAAGCAGCTGGTTGGGAATGTCCTGCTCCCACCTCCAGAGCCTGGCACACACCTCCCCCTACCTTATCCTCAACAGATAAATGGGAAACCAAAGCAAAGCAGAGGGAAAGTCACCACTTGGGTGCCATGGCCAGGGTGTGACAGTGGCACTGCAAGCAGGCTGCGTTCTCCAGTGGGGGAACGAGCCCAGCGCGGCTACAGAGAGCAGCCAGTTGCATTGTTAGAGCTATCACTGAGGGGTATCACCGAGCTTCCTCCGAAGAGGGCCACTAACTCAGAGGGGTTCACAAATAATTTATCTTAACATCTCTTCATTACTTAAGCTGCTGCTCTTCTGCTGAACAACTGGGCAGTCACGCAGCAATATGTGACATTATCCTCTCTCTCTTGTCCCAGAGAAACTAAAGGTTACTCTGAACTCCTCCACAGCCACCGCGGAGCTCAGGACGGACGAGACCGGTGCTGTCGGTGTCACCTTCGCTCCTCGCCCCTCCGCATCCTCCCCCCGCGGCGCGGCCCTGCGACCCCCCGCCCCGCCGGAGCTGGGGCAGACCCCGGCCCCGAGCAGGCCCCGGCCCCGGCCCCGGCCCCG